CCTAAGATTTTGGGTTCATTTTTTGCTCCAAAGAGTGACATCGCAAGCCCTGGTCCCTAAGATCTTGGGCCCAGTTTTTGCTCCAAAGAGTCAAATCGCAAGCCCTGGTCCCTAAGATTTTGGGCTCAATTTTTGCTCCAAAGAGTCAAATCGCAGGCCCTGGTCCCTAAGATTTTGCATTCATTGTTGCTCCAAAGAGTGACATCGCAAGCCCTGGTCCCTAAGATCTTGGGCTCAGTTTTTGCTCCGAAGAGTCAAATCGCAAGCCCTGGTCCCTAAGATTTTGGGTTCGATTTTTGCTCCAAAGAGTCAAATCGCAAGCCCTGGTCCCTAAGATTTGGGGCCCAGTTTTTGCTCCAAAGAGTCAAATCGCAAGCCCTGGTCCCTAAGATTTTGGGTTCATTTTTTGCTCCAAAGAGTGACATCGCAAGCCCTTGTCCCTAAGATTTTGGGCCCAGTTTTTGCTCCAAAGAGTCAAATCGCAAGCCCTGGTCCCTAAGATTTTGGGTTCAATTTTGCTCCAAAGAGTGACATCGCAAGCCCTGGTCCCTAAGATTTGGGGCCCAGTTTTTGCGCCAAAGAGTAAAATCGCAAGCCCTGGTCCCTTAGATTTTTGGGTCGATTTTTGCTCCAAAGAGTCAAATCGCAAGCCCTGGTCCCTAAGTTTTCGGGGTCGATTTGTGCTCCACAGAGTCAAATCGCAAGCCCTGGTCCCTAAGATTTCGGGGTCGATTTGTGCTCCACGGAGTCAAATTGCAAGCCCTGGTCCCTAAGATTTTGGGCCCAGTATTTGCTCCAAAAGGTGAAATCGCAAGCCCCGGTCTTTAAGATTTTGGGCTCATTTCTTGCTCCAAAGAGTAACATCGCAAGCCCTGGTCCCTAAGATTTTGGAATCGATTTTTGCTCCAAAGAGTCAGATCGCAAGCCCTGGTCCTAAAATGTTGGGCTCAATTTTTGCTTTTCCCTTCTCTTCTGCTTCCTTTTAACTGATAAAACACAAGAAAGGAACTCATATGATAAAGCAGTGGAAAGGTAAGCAGAGGGTGACTCCTTGCGCGTGAGCCTTTCCATAATACTCCATCATATTCATCCTCTCGGCCTATCTCTTCTGTTCCTTTCCTTACTCTTCTCCTTCTCATAGTTCTTCCTTTTTGTTTTTCTCATTTCGAAAAGAAAGAGGGAAGGGAGAAACAAGGGAGAGAGAATAGATAAAGAAGAGTGCCATCTTCTCTGCGCCTTGTTTTGTCTCTCCCTCTTCTCTATTCATCTGTCTTCTATTCTCTTCCTTGCTCTTCCCATTAAATATGCAATCCTTGGTATCTCTCCTCTCTCCTTCTCTCTTCCTCCAACAGATGTGCTTTTGGATCGTTTTCTGCATCTTCAAGCGAGAAAAAAGGACACAGACTGCGATTAAAAGGGACGCCCATGTTGGATTGGCAGCAAGCCCAGCTGATGCTCATGATTCTCTCTCTTTCCCTACACATGGGCGATGGAACGGGTGTCCTTTTCAATCGTTTTCTGCATCTTCAAGAGAAACAGGGACACCCCACAAGAAGGAAAAGCAACATAAGAGATAGGGAGGGAAATTGACCCTTTCCTCTCTTCTTATCTGCTATTTTTCTTATTCGCTTCAAAAAGCAACATAAGGGAAAGGGGATTTCCTGAAGAGGAGAGAGGGAACCTATCTGTGAAAAGCAAGAATGGTTTTTTCTAGTTCGAAAGGGAATAGGGAGAGACAAGGGAGAGATGATATGTACAGCTTTGCGCCTTATTTTGTGATTCCGTCTCCTTGCTTCCTGTCTCTTCTATTCCTTGCAGCACGCTTCGGGAAACATAGCATCCTTGTTATCTTTCCTCTCTCACTTCCCTTTCCCTTCTCTTCTTCCGCTTCCTTTTAACTGATAAAACACAAGAAAGGAACTCATATGATAAAGCAGTGAAAAGGTTCCTTGCGCGTGAGCCTTTCCATAATACTCCATCATATTCATCCTCTCGGCCTATCTCTTCTGTTCCTTTCCATAGTTCTTCCTTTTTGTTTTTCTCATTTCGAAAAGAAAGAGGGAAGGGAGAAACAAGGGAGAGAGAATAGATAAAGAAGAGCGCCATCTTCTCTATTCATCTGTCTTCTATTCTCTTCCTTGCTCTTCCCATTAAATATGCAATCCTTGGTATCTCTCCTCTCTCCTTCTCTCTGCCTCCAACAGATGTGCTTTTGGATCGTTTTCTGCATCTTCAAGCGAGAAAAAAGGACACAGAATGCGATTAAAAGGGACGCCCATGTTGGATTGGCAGCAAGCCCAGCTGATGCTCATGATTCTCTCTCTTTCCCTACACATGGGCGATGGAACGGGTGTCCTTTTCAATCGTTTTCTGCATCTTCAAGAGAAAAAGGGACACCCCACAAGAAGGAAAAGTAACATAAGAGATAGGGAGGGAAATTGAAGAACTCCTCATTGTACTTGGTCATTCCCTTTCCTCTCTTCTTATCTGCCCATTTTCTGTGCGCCTTGTTTTGTCTCCCCCTCTTCTCCCATCATCTCTCTTCTGGTCTTTTCTTTGCTCTTCCCATTAAAAATGCAACCCTTTTTATGTCTCCTCTCTCCTTCTCTCTCCCTCCTCTTCTCCTGTTCCCTTCTAAACGACAAAAACGCAAGAAAGGAAGAATAAGAGGGGAATGGAGGCCCTGTTCCTTTTCCTCTTTCAATGGATGGGGGAAGTGGGCGGAGTTGGCCCCTTGCCCGTACACCCTCCCCATGCTTCAGCAAACCCCTCCTCTCGCCCTATCGCCTCTGTTTTTTCCTTGTGCCCAAACGGAAAACGAAAACGGGTTCCTTTATATGTTCATTGTCCTTCCTTTTGTTTTTTTATTTCACAGGGAAAAGAACCAGAGAAGAGGAAGATAAGAACGAGAGGTGAGATGAAAACGGCACCATCTTCTCTTTGCCTTATTTTTGCACCTCCCTCTCCTGTCTTAATTTCTCTTCCACTCTTTTTTTCCATTGCTCTTCCCATAATATTGCATTCCTTTTGATAACTCACAGGAAATTAAAATGGCCTCCTTGTTGTCTCTCCTCTCTCACTTCCCTTTCCCTTCTCTCCTTCTGTTTCCTTTTAATTTTAACTGATAAAACACAAGAAAGGAGCTTGTAAAATCAAGCAGTGGAAGGGTAAGCAGAAGGTGACTCCTTGTGCGTGGACCTTTGCCGTACTTCACCATACCCCTCTTTTCGGCCTATCTCTTCGGCTCTTTTCCTAACCCTTCTTCTTTTCATCTTTCTTTTTGTTTTTCTCATTTCGAAAAGACAGAGGGAACGGAGAGATAAGGGAGAGAGGATAGATAAAGAAGAGTACCATCTTCTTTGCGCCTTGTTTTATCTCTCTTCTATTCTTTTCTTGGCTCTTCCCATGAAAATTGTGTTCCTCTTATCTTTCCCTCCTTCTCTCCCTTCTCTTCTCCTCACGAGAGCCTTCGACTTTAGGATTGAGGAGAAAAAGAGAAGAGAAAAGAGGAACTACCTGGTTCTTGTTCCTGAGGCCTCCATAGTACGACTGACGTGACAGCAGCGTACCCTCGTGGAAACGTGTATGGCTATAAGAAAACCCGAGTCCCAGCTTCCAAATAGACCCTATTTAAGCCACCCACACCCCCCACCCCCCCCCCCCCCCCCCACACCCCCCCCCCCCCCCACCCCCCACCCACACACCCCCCCCCCCCCCCCCACCCTCCACCCCCTCCCCCTCCCCCCACCCCCCCCCCCTTTGAGCCCGCTGCCCTTCCTCCCCTTTTTTTGCGAAACCCTCTTTCCTCACGGTACTCAAGTGCTGCGTCCTCCGGGCCATCCATGAACAGGTCCGTCGCCACCAGCCACTTGCAACCAAAGTACATGCCTTCAAAGCTCAACTGCTACTAGTGCCCTCCGAACAGAAAAAGTCGCCGAAGCACTCTTCGTCTCACCTGTCGTCAAAGCCCGTGGCAAAAGCGATAACGCAGGAATGCAGGCAAGCAACACCAAGCAAAGGCTTGATTGGAAGAAGCCCTTAGACGCGTGCGTGTGAAGAGCCCCGTGCCGGCGTGCATTGGCATTTTGCCCGCTACCCGCCCTCCCACAACGGACAGCACAGAACGCTTGCAGATGCTGCTTCCTTGATTCAAGCAAGCTGCAGCGCCACCTGGTACATTCGAGGCTCTTCTTCGTCGTCAGCTTGTCCGACGTGCAAGCCTTCCGGTTGCAACACACAAGCCCTCAGTCCTACCAGGCACTAGGTCACCAGGCAGATCGAAGTTGAAACAGAGCAGTGCGCGCCGGCATACAGGTCCAGGGCCACGGTAAACGCGCAGAACAGGGCACCTGCCTCGGATCGACCAAGCACCGGACTGCAGGGACATCCGAAAGATTGCCCAGTGCGGCATCGGCATCCCCAGGTATCCCCAGGTCTGGCCCGGCACTGACCCTCCAACCCCAAGAGACAGATTACAGATGGTTACAGCCACAATCAGCTACAACCAGCACGACCGTTACATGCAGCAAACAGAAACATGCGGAAACCGGATCCAGGTTGCCAATGCCCTTAAGTTGCGAAGGGTTGTGCTAAAGCTTTGCTTTGAGCATCAAGCCCACAACTGGCAAACCCAACCGTAGCCCACAAGGGATGCCTCACCATTGCCTTTACATTTGCAATAGATACGGTACCAGTACGTATCGCTGCTTGTTCCCATGCAAACAATTAACCAATGTTGTCATGGCTAGTCGTAGCATGATCTTTGGACGTCGGTGGTCTGTCTGTCTCCAAAGCTCGTGATGCTTTCACTTTACTTAATGTCACTTGATGTCACGCGCGTTCCCAATTTTCCAATTGCCAAGCAGCCATCAGTAGTGTCTCGATGTCACTGCTGCTGCGAGTTGTTTGCACTGCCCAATCGTCCAAACCTGGCCAGGTCCCAAACCTGATACTGACAGATGCTCCTACTATCTCCTAATCATGCTGCAGTGTACCAGAAGCTAATGCGAGCTCGTGCCTTCGACGTCAGGCATGTGGCCACTGATCCAAAAGCGAACCGTCTGAACCTCACAACAGACTTATTCGAAGGCCTTTGAACATTTCCCGTTTTTGGAATTGCCACAAACTGCCTGGTTGCTACGAGCGGCTGTCAAGAAAGACAGGGTGAGTGCCAGCACGTTGTCCTCCGGCTCTTCCGCCTCCTCATGCCACATGATATAGCACCTTGCAGCACTGTTCTACAACCTGCAGTTGCTCACCTCATGCGCAAGACTCAGCACGACTGTCGCATCAAGTGCTCCACTCATGATACAGCTCTTCCATGCGGTCGTCGTATAAGCTCGAGAAAGTCTTCCAATTCTCGGCGACTTTTCCTAGCTCCAGATGCAGTGGCATTTGCAGAAATGCAGAAATGAATTTCCGATCGTTCCACAACGAGCCTTTTGCACTGACGGCCTCAGCCAAGTCTCTTCTCTGTGCATGAAAGTGCCTCAGCTGCCATCGGACACAATTAAGCCGACCACATCCTCCTCTATGTCCTGCACCCCTCTGCATAGGAAAGAATGAACACCAAACATGCTGATGCTGCGAACATATGTCTGGTGTGCAATCAGACTGCCACTGCAACAGTAGGAGCGAAATGGCCGCGATCACCTCAGAATGCTTTGCAGTTTCACCAGGCATGGCATGACAGCAGCAGCAGCAGTTTCATAACACCTGAGCCAAGAATCAACTACCCAAACACTCATCTGCCAGCTGCTACGAAACGTGTCCATCTGCTGAAGAGTGCCAAACCTCATGTGAGGCAGATGCGGATACAGATGCGGAGGCACTGTGTGCTACACTCGCTCACGACAAGTGCGCGCCAGCATGTAACACAAAATCCAGGAAGAGCCACGCGTTGATGGCTGCGAAGCCAGCTACATGAGACAATAGTACTTTCCAGCATGTCATCTGCGACTGCAAGTCCTGCGCAGCGGGTGCTTACCCCTCCAGCTCTACCCACGACTTCTTGCAGAACCCCCTGGAAAATTCAGTCTCTAGTCCTTCGCTCTCTTGCTCGCCATTCTCTCTTGTTTGGCCGGCCATCTTTTGAAAAAAGAAACTCACGAAGCTCACGCCTTTGTCTGCTTCTTGGGTGTACAGATGCGTGTAGGCATCTCTGAGCCTGAGATAACGGCTGGATTGTGCAGAATGTGCTCGCGTCCTCGATGTGGTCCAGGGGATGAAGTTGCTGCAGGACAACCTGGGTTTTAATGAGTAGTGTCACTGGTGTTCGCCAGCTTCCTGCCTAACCAACCCTTCCGCACACTGGGACGCCTGTGTGGGACGGGACCCCCCTAGAGGGTGCCTCCAAGCGTCATCTCCACATACTGCAGGCTCTGGGCCGGCCCGGCTGCCGAGGCGGCACGCAAGCGTTTACAATTCTGCTTGCTTTGCGACTTCGATGGTCCATTCATCCAACTTCAAGTGGTATGTGCTCTCGGAGTCTCATACATGCTTTTTAATAATAGCAGACTTGCATTTCGAGCTGACACTTATGTATTTGGCTGGTCATTTGACCTACTGGCAATCAGTTCGTCTCTTGGAGCTGCGTGTCCAAGCAACGTGCTCTGGAACCAACAGTGAAGAAAGTGCTGTCCAAACCTCACAAGGTGCGGCACGCGATTTACATCATGGACAACGAACAACACAATGCGAGCATAGGACAGGTCGGGAGACATTCCGTACCGAACCCAAGACCCAGTTTGGTGACAAGATGCCGAGACCCTCTCCGAGGAGGGTTGCATGCCTGGAACCTGTCACAAACTTAGCAGCTCATGACATGGACATTGTGCAGCAGTGCATTCTGTTTCCATGTGGCCTGCCTCCTTCAGCTTGTGCTTCGCGAGGACTATTGCACCCTGAAAGGACATGTAGTACCTGCCATGGTGCTGAGCAATGGGGAAAAGAGTATAAATAACCCCTGTGGACTCGCTGCAGGAAGGTTGCAGGTGAAATTCCAAGGCAGCGTACCAAACCTGGAAGGCTGAAGCCGAGACTTGAGTCCACACTGAGTCCACACTGCAGCGCAAACTTGCTCCGCCCCTAGGACAAGTGCCCTTAGTGCGGACGGGCAACCAGCATCTGACAAATCTGAACCTTATGCCGCAAGCTTTCAGTGTGCACTGAGTGCGTGCAGCGATCTTCAATCACGTGAGTGGACACTGGAACTTAACTGCAACCCCGGCGCCGCAAAATGAAACTGCTGAAGGCCAGAAACGCGCACGACCTCTGAAGGCACTGAGGGCTCAAGAGATGCTCAAGAGCCACCCAATTGGCAGCGGCCGGGCCTTGACTGTGACGTCATTCATGTATTGGAAGATCATCACCTTGCGTGACAAGTTCTTGAAATTCTCCATACGACGTGGCCAATGTATGCAAGTCACTGCACAGAAGATCGCGATTGTCTGGCTGATAACCTCATAGGTGTACCTTCTTATGTCCTGGAACACAAGCCACGCAATCTTCTTGCACACATCAGTACCATCTGCAATGGCTCGCACGCCCATCGCCCGTGGGTTCAGTCTACATACAACTCGCAAAGTACGTTGCAAAGATAAGACCCGCTTCATCACACTTTGGCACATGGTGCAGAGTGTCCTTATCTGAGTGGTTCGTCAAGTAGGTCAACGACATGAGGAAGACCATCGCTCCAAGCAAGGTGCTGGCCGCGCCAACCTCACAAAGCACACCAAGCTGAAACCCAAATGCGGGTACAGCCCCCATGTGAGGGAATTGGGGACAGTCGACAGCGCAAGTTGTCAGATCATGCTTCTGAGTCAACGCGGTCACGCTTAACTCTCAATAATACCACAAGGGCACAAGCCTTGGCACAGCCTTGGTCCCTCTTGTGTTGCTTCCATTAAATCAAGTCGCATTGTCGAGCGTATTGCCTTCCATTTGCCAAAATGGGCTTCGGGAAGTCTTTGTCGAGACTTGGTCTGATTCGTGCTGAGATATGACAGATGAGCTGCCTTGACCTTCCTTTCCAATTCCACTCTTCGCGTGACTGCTCAGATTGCCGGGCTTGAGGGTCTATCACACTTTGCAGCATATCTTGAGCCAAGGCCCCGTGCAAGAACGGCTCTGGAGAAGAAAGCTTTCATGTCTGCGGCGTTTGGAATGCAAAGGCACAGGTATCTATGTGTACGTATGTACATATAAATAGGCTTCTGCAATGAAAACTGTTCGCTGTTCCTTGTGAGCAGTCGAACCGAACATATGGACTGCACACTAGGCTGCGTGTTCATGTACTGATCATATTGGGTCCGAGACTCGCCATGGAATTGGGACCCTCGGAACGTCTCTCTCGAAATGTGTATGTCCTTCGCCTTTGCGCATCACGCCCAACACAGCCGTGCCTTTATTGTTGGATCCGCATGCATATGCCGCTGTCAGAGATTGAGTTTGACAGTAGCCGTGCACCTGTCATCACCTGTCTCTTAATCCTCTACTAGAATACATGTAATTAAATTTGCTACTAACCTTTCTTCATCCGCCGTGCCCCCCCACCTGCGCTCTGTCCGCGGCCCTTGAGACAGCAACCGTTTCTTCTTCTTCTTCTTCTTCTTCTGCGTCATGTCTGCCCCCCCGCCCCCCCCCCCCCAACTCCCTCTCTCCCCTCCCCCTCTCTCTCTCTGATGCATGCTGCCCTCCTCAAGGACCTCGGAGAGGGCAAAGAGGAGCAACAGCAGCGCACCCTGAGGCGAACAGCGTGCTCCAAGTTCCATGTTCCCAAGAACGTCTCCACTCCAGAAGAAGCTCCGAGTCAGAAGACCTCCTGTCCGTGCCCAAGGGCCACCGACCTCACAATATGATTCGTAAATATAAGTCTGATTAAAGTGTAGTGTAGTCTCTTTTGTCAAATGCCCCAGACTCAGGGAGCTGGGAGACCTCAGAGCCGCTGAGGCGCCCGGCGCAAATGCGGCCAGGGTCATGAGGAAGTGGATGTCAAGCCGCAACTGATCGCTCTGTGAGACTCTATGAATCTCTACCCCCGCAATCTACCGCATTGCTGAAAACAAAGACTCTTACGCGAATGCCGTGAATGCTGAAAATTCTCTCAGAGACTCAAAAAGGTCTGAGGGCTCGGCTGCATGCTGCAGAGCTCCAGCTAGCGCTGGGATACCATACACCTGGAGTGATGGCCCCAATGCTTTTTCAAGCCCTTCCAGAACTTGTGGTTTACTTCGCTAGCAGCAGTTCTCTTGAAAAAGCCACGGCGCGAAATAGACAAGTGTAGGGCCTGCCAGTCCTCAGAGAACGGCAATATTGGCTCTCTGAGAAGCTGGGTGAGCGCATGTCTTCTTAAAACGGGATGCAACTTCCGGGCTCTTCTGAGCGCGCCGCGCAGGAATCGGGAAAAGCCTGGAGCTTGCGATGTGAAAAAATGTGGGCAGGTGCCATCATTAGATGCAGGCCGTCATTGTACGTCCACTAGTCGAACGACTAACCGTCCAGTCGCTAGCGGATCGCTGCATTGCTGCATTTGATAAAACTAACTGCTTGCAGGAAGGACCCCGCATGAACTTCAATGTTGAAGCCGTTTGAGGTTAGCTACTCGGATGCTTCTGAGGGATATGGAGTGGAGCTAGATTCCCCCCGTGCCTGGCAAGCGATGAATACTCAAGGGCAACAGCGACACCAGAAAGGCAGCCGTAACCACGATGATGGAAGTCTTTGTTCTGGACAGATCGGATAAACCTCGGAAAGCGGGAGCCCCCGGCAACCAGTCCGGCACCTCGCCATGGCTGTGCCCGTGGCCACAGCATCCATCATCCGCTTCACCGTGGCTGTGGCCGTGGCTGTGGCCGTGGCTGTGGCCGTGGCTGTGGCCATGGCTGTGGCCACTGCTCTGGCTGCGGACACTGTGGCTGTGCCCGTGTCCGTCGGACTCATGGGAATGGCCGTGGTTATGTTCTTGGCCTTCGTGCCCATCATGCCCATGATCATGGCTCCTTCTGGTGAGAGCGACATGAGGTCCTCGCCCTCGCCGCTGAAGCTTCTTTTTTTGCGTTTTGCGCCGTGCACGCCGGCAGACCGCCGCACTCACTGTGGCTGCGGACAGCGCAGTAGTAGACATCAACACACCATGTTCCACTGCACCCCATCTCAGGCCGTGAACGGTCTCATCGACATTCGGCATATCATGACTGGCAGAAAATCTTGAACCTTGCTGCAACATCGATTCTCGCAGACGTTGGTTCAAGTTGGTGGCCCCAAGTCCCACCGCCGATTGCATGGCAACGGATGGCTGCAGCATTCTACACGTCAGAGCTGGATGGCAATGGCAGTACTGATGACCGATCCACGCGCTATGACTGAACTTGAACCTACTTTCAAATGATTGAACTTCCCCTCGCTGGCAAGTACAAGTTGGAACCAAGTCTTGGCGGTGTCGGCATGTGCACCACAGCGCTTGCATCACAGCACAAGATGGCTTTCAAGCTGACTGACCTCTTGAATACGCAAGTCAAACAACTGGCACCATCCAGCTCCATCCACCAACATGCGCCTTCGGAAATTTGCGAACGAGGCCTGATGCTGCAGAGAAACAAAACAAATACTACCAGTTTGTTGCATCAAGTGAATTGTGTGCCTTCACAACCATGGTACGCTATGCCTGTTCAAAGCTACAGACCGCAGGCTTTCCCCGATGACACAAATCAAACAAAAAAAACAAAAACCATGGGCTGGGAGGCAATACGTCACGGAAATAAAAATGTCCTAAATATGATGTTTAAGCCAGATGAAACATTCGACACAGTGCTGCCCACATCCGCCCACGCTACTTGGACGATTCTGCAGAGGTGGTAATGTTCTTGACCTGTGGCAGACCTCTGTCAGCGTGCGAACAAAAGGGGATGACTGTCCCATAGAACTTGGACGTGATGTTCCGCCCACTGCCCAAAGTATGACGTGCAATGTTTGCCATGAAGAGCACCCTTGGCTTCTGCACCGTCACGGGTTACTATGTTCCTGGCAGTGTTTTGAGCTTGCAAGTCAAGCGATGCACAGAGGAGAGTCAGAAGCTGTGTTCTCAGTCCCCAGGTTTCCGCCTCAACATGCCTCAATAATGTTGATGTCTCTGGGCTGGAGCGCAATATTAGATACAGTCTGTATGCTGTGCTCCGCCACACGGAAACTAGAGATGACAGAGCCAGGAAAGCTCATCCAAAGTTCGTCAAACCAAGCTGGAGGACAACTGGCCCACTACCCCTGACAGCTTGTGAGGGTCTCAATGGCTTTGATGCTGCCTGCATCATGCAAGATGTCTTGAAGTGTTTTGAAGTGTCTTGAAGTGTCTGGAAGTGTCTGGAAGTGTCTGGAAGCTTGTGCACAAGACATGAATTCTGAACAAACCCGGTGAGATGGTGCAGTGCCACAATGCCTAACCGGCCAAGCCACCACCCCACAGCGGGTCTTGCAGTGGGAGATGGTGTTTCGAGCAAAGGCTTCAGTAGCGAAGCTCACGAGCACTGGCAAGCAAATGTAGAACAGGGTGCTACTGTTGTGGAGACGGTTGCGCAGGTAGGGTCTGCTATTGTCAACGTCCCATAATAACTTCCATTACCTCATGCTGCCACATTCCCGGCCTGGACTGTGCAACAGGCCCGGGCGGCGGCGTCCGGCACCAGCTCTTGCTTGGAGGTTCGGTCCTGCACAACGGGTCACAAGGGTGCGCGGGGGATCATGACAAGCGCGGCAACATAGGAGAGAGACATTGAGAGACTCTGCCGATCTCTGCCAGGTTCTGCCAAGGCGCCACACAGGTGGTGGGAAGCGGTGGATCGCCTTCGGCTCACGTGCTCAAAAGGGGGCTGTGCAAGATTTCGTGCAAGTGAGCCCTTCTGTGCAGTATGGGTGCAGATCATTGCAGATCCACTAGCAGCGTGCCGAGTTCTGCATGGGCTCCCGGCGTTAGATGTGCCTGGACTTGAACTGCGGTGGATCCTAAGTGTCAACGTAGACCCTTTGTGCCTTTGTGCCAGAACGATGCTGATGTTCTCATGTTGCTGACTTGTCATAGCTTGGCCCCGCTGCACTCGCACGCTTGGGCTGCGCCGCGGAGTTATGGCCCTTGCATCGGGAAATTGTAGGGCACCTTGGATCGGAATGCCGACTGGGGGAGAAATCAAAACACGCAACGACTGTGACGACTTGTACGTACCCACGGATGGCGAGCTGTCAGTGTCTCGGCGGGATTTTTCGTGATTTAGGGACCCAGGGTCTCAGGCATGTTCGGTCTTCCTGGATTCAGAAAGCCCGCTAACATAGAGTTCGGAACCATGCAAAGGAAGCTCAGGCGAGAGCTTCCAGAACACACAGGGAGGGCGACTCAGAGAAGAAAATGAAAAAAACAAAAAATAGTGAGAGAAAGAGAAAGAGAGAGAGAGAGAGAGAGAGAGAGAGAGAGCGAGAAAGAGAGAGAGAGAGAGAGCCACAGAAATGGTCTGGCAGCCTCTCGTTGCTATTGTTCATGTTGTTCACACAGACAAACACACACCAACACATGCGACAACAAGCTCGCTTTCTACAGCATGGGCTGCCGACTGCAGCCGGCATCGCGGTGCAACGCCTTGGCCCGGAGCACAAGGGAGCAGCTGTGGCTAAAATGAATTGCAAAGCGTCGTGAATCAATTTGGCAT